GGCGGCCCATCATTACTATGCCTATGTGCGCCGACGTCCTGTGCGATGCGCAGGCCGATACCAATGAGCGACCACGCCGCAGCGGGGGTGGAGTTTTCCAGGAATGCCACCGCGAGCTGGAAGGAAGCAAAATCGATGAATGAATCAATCACTGTCTCAAAAAAAAGAAAGAAAATGAGAGCGGAGAGACGCACACAATAATACTGCAGCAAATAAATCCCAGGCGTCTCGAAGATATGATCCAGCCCAAACGGCACCTGGTCGAAAAACTCCCATCCCCTCCTCAGCGACTCTTCCTTCTCATCCCGATTCAGCCTCGGGTCGTCGGAGAACCGCGCGCCGATGGCGCATACCAGCAGAACGACTGCGCCGAATGCGCTATCGCGCAGGTGCAGGCCCGAGGCGAGGGCGCGCTCAAAGGTGGGACGGTGGAGGACGGGGAAGTATATATTTTTGTGCGTAAAGTAGCAGGAGGTGAGGTCCGCGAGGAGGTCCGGAGGTGGGAACGTCGGTGGGGTGTCGGGAGCCGCTGGGGGGATGCGGTCGTGGAACTGCCGTCAATATCGATATCAGTATACACAATACCAAGGAGCTCGAGGAAACGCCTACAAACACTCACAGGATTATACGTCCAATAATGCATCCTCCTCCCATTCCACGGCATATCCCTTTCCTCATACCCCTCCCTCATCTGCACCGCCGCCTTCACCAGCATCGCCTCGCTGCTCTTCCCCTGGAAGCGATTCCTCACCTGATTCAGCGTGAGGTGCCCCATCTCCTCGACGAGCTCGACGTGCGCGAGGTCGTCCCCGTGCGGCGCGGGCGCGGCGGTGTTCATGGAGCGTATGTTGAGCGCGGCGAGCATGACGCTGGGGGAGGTGCTGCCGGAGGCGGTGGAGACGACGAGGTCGCTTTGGGTGCTTTGGTGCATGGCGTTTGCGCTGTTGAGTGACTTGTTTTGGAGGACGGGGGATTTGGGGCTCCAGCGGGAGCTGCTACTAGTACCCGGGCTAGAGGAGGATTCGGCAGAGTTGGATGAATCTCTTTGCGATACCTATACCCGCGTCGATATCGTCAATGGGAAATCCTACTTTCTAGCGACACACCTTCCTCAGCAACTGCTCAGTCAACTCCAACCTTGCCTCCAAAGCCTCGACATAGCTGAAAGCACCACATATTGAGACTATAGAAGCGCAGAATAAACGGACTAACCTCCGGCGCTTCGCTAACGCCCCGGCAAACGTACACGCCACCCCGCTCTCCACACAGTTCGTGCATTTCTTCTCCGCCCTGCGTAGCCCGTCGCCTGAGAGAAATCGGAACTCAATGCCACCATACGGAATATGGAGGCAGCCTTACATGCTCCTAACAAGAGAATTTACTATTAGCAAAGTAAACCTTGAGATTTTGGGATACGGACGCTTTTTGCGGCGACACGCATCGCACGCTCGCTGAACGCGTCGCTTTTTGGTGGGATTCGCGTTCAGATCTCCTGGTCGTTCGTCGTCGTCAGACATGGCGAGGAAAGGGCTGCGGCAAATGTCATTGTCATCGTGATTTCCGGATCGCCGAGGGCATATCGGCCGAAAGGTCCGAGCTCAGCTGTCTTGCTAGCCAAAGTCAATCGCATCGCAGCATGAAAGTCAGATTCCAGATCGATTTTGATATGTACGGAGACGATGCAATATACTGAAAATGCAGAGGATATGTAGAAACGTCCATATGTATATGTAGTACCATCGAAAACAGTATGAGTGAAGAGAAGAGACATGTGCGAGAGAGAGAGCGTAGTAAGACGACGGGAGGAGACGTAGTACGACGAAGAAGGTGTGGCCGGGATGCGGGATTCCCGACGTATCTCGAAAGCAGAGGGACAGTAGGGCGTAGACCGACGAAGACAAGGGCAGAGGCATAACGGGGAGACGCAGTGCGAAAGATACGACGACGGGATGCGGGATGAGTGCATCTCGAAAGCAGAGAACGGAGGAAGGACGGAGGAGTAAGAGCAGGATAGGGCGCACACCGCAGAGCGGAGGCATAACGGCCTCCTTACCCTTATCCTGGCGTACGTCGAGTCGCGGCGGTCTCAGTCCCCAGTCCTCACCCCAGCCCCGCCCCCCCCGCCCCGCCCTCACCCCTCCCTTCCCCTCACCATCTCCCTTCTCCTTCACCTTATCCCCAGGCAGACTCACACCCCCGCCCCCGCCCAAGGCCCCCCCGCCGCAGGCGCCACAGCCGTAGGCGGCGGCGACAGCCCCGGCGAGCTCGAGCGAGAATTCACCGTCTCCTTCTCCACGACATCCAACCTTGGTGGGTTCGTTGTCGTGGCCGGAGCCGCCGTCCCCCACGCTGATGACGCCGCCGCTGCTTCTTCTTCTACTTCTGTCGCTGGTAAATCCACGAGCGCCCCCCTCCTCGGCGTCGGCCGTGCGTCGTCGTCCGTGTCGTCCCCGTCCGAGCAAAGCCCGAGGCCAAGGCCCGTGGGGGCGAACGTTATCGGCTCTTCATCTTCTTGTCCCTCCTCATGCTTCTCCACCCCCTCTTGCTTCGTGGAGGGTGGGGGCGCGCGCGCGGGAATGTGCGGTGAAGATGTCGACGAGGGTGGGGGAATATGCGGGGAGGATAACGGCGACTCCTCAGGCGACCTGACCGGACTCTTCGTCCCCACCTGCGAACTCGACCTACTCCTTGTCAACCTATGCTCCCTCTCCTCTTCTCTTCCCCCCTCAGCAAGATCCAAACTCGACTGCGACGAATGCATCCCCATCCTCGACGCACTCCTCAACTCCACATTCTCCCCCTCCACAACCCTCAACGCCCTCCTCAACGCCTCCCTCTCCTCCCTCGCCTCCCGCAACTCCTCCCCCTCCTCCACCAACACCCTCCGCGCCCTAACCACCTCCGCCTCAAACGCCCTCAACCTTACCACCTCCCCTTCCGCCTCCGCCCTCCTCTTCCTCTCACTCGCCACCATCTTATTCGCCTCCTCGAACAGCGCCTGGCTGAGACTCTCCAGCTCCGCCTCCAGCGCGACTTTCTCCCTAGCCGCAGACGCCGCCAAAGCCCTAGCTTGATCCGCCGCCTTGCGCTCCCGAATCGCAAGCTGCCTCTCCCGCTCCGCGTCTTGGCGCGCCTTATCCGCCGCCGCGCGCGCAGCGCTCAACGCCGCTTGATCGTCTAGATCATGCCCTCCCGTATGCAGCGACGGCAGGCTCGGGGACGTGAAATGCTGCGTCGGTGTCGTGGGTCTTGTCCCGTTGAAGAACGTTTTGAAGAAGCTCGAGTTGGTAGAAGAGGAGGAGCCGTCCGTGGGGGAGTCGTTACTCGCGGGACTGTGCTGCTGCTGCTCGAGCGAGACGCGGCGTTCGGCGTTGGTGCCTGTACCATTAGAGCGCCGCCACCCGACTGACGCGCGGCCGTTGCCCGACTTGAGCGCCTCCTCGAGCATCTCGTTGTTGGCGATGACGAGCTGGAGGTTTGATTTTGCGACGTTCAGTTGCAGTTCGAGCTCGGCTTTGCTTTTGTAGGCTTCGCTTAGGAGCGAGGACTGCGTTTCGTCAGAAAGAAAATTTGGTATCAATATCAATTCCCGCATTTTAAAAACGAAGGAAGAGAAAGCGGACCCACCAACTCCGTCACCCGATTGATCACCATATTCAATGCGGACCTTAAATCCTCTTCCTGGCCGTGTGAGCTCACCCGCCGCGCATCGTGCAGCTCCTGCTCGATGGTGAGGAAGATGGGGTTCGAGGGCGTCTTGGCGGCTTGCTGCGTCGCGTTGAGGCTGTCGGTGCGCCGAGGGACGCCGCTGCCGCTGCCTGGACCGTTTTGGAGTACGGAGGGGAAGTGTAGCATGCGTGTCGTCGTCAGCGGCTAGAATGACGAGGTGGGTGGCGCGATGCAAGGCAAATTTTACTGGAGGTGATGCGGGCTCGTTGATAGAGTGAAACGGCGAGCAGAAGACGAGAGTTGATGTGTAGAGAGTCCGAGAGCAGCAGCAGAAGCAGTCGTCGGTGTCGTTGTCGTCAGCGCCGCCGGTGTCGTCGTCGCCGTGTGGAACGTGCTTGAGGCGCGTCACAGATGTGACGGCGTGACCAGCTTTGTTTCATACCGCCATCATCCCCAAAGAAAACTAGACCCTTGGCGCTGGAGTTTCGCTTCGAAGAAAATTGGCGATGTCGGTCGCCCTTCGGATGGAGGCTTTGTTCTCTTCCTCAGATCGTTTCCCCCAATTCCTCGCCCAGAGATTCCTCCACCAACTTCCAAGTTAGGGCTCGCTCGGTTCCAACTCGAAGATTCTTCAATTATCCATGGACTATAACCACTGCGCGGCGAAAAACTACGAACGCCATCGTACAGTCTTTAAATTGATAATTCAGGCCTCTCTTTCGCCTCAAATCAATACCCCATCGCACTCCAAGCAAGATTCATCTTCACTCAAAGAAAACCATCTTGCTTTTCGCCGTAACTGGTTCTGGGGACGATGACCCTCATATACTCTCCTGGATGTTGCCTTTTCATTGCCATCTCATCTGATACGACCATCAATCTTCGTTTTGCTCTCCATCTGGCAGCTCGCAGCGACTTTATGATTGTCCGGCGTAAATTCTGCTTCAAACGCATATTCAATACCTCTGGCCACAATTTTCCCGCTTCGTCTCTACCATCTCACTCCCCAGCGCATACCCTACCCGACTCTCCAACCATTCCTTCAAGTTTCAATGGCCGTCTAACCATTTCTGACTGGTTCTGGGCGACGATGGCCCTCATATACTCTTCTGGATGGTCGGTTGGCTGTGAGCTCTTTAATTCTTAACCCTCAGATGTTTTGCTCGATCTCGCTTCAACTCCATGGTCCCCCGGCGTAAATTCCGCTTGTGATTCAACAGCATATTCAATAACTCTGACTCCCATCTCTTGTCTTGAAAACCCGTCCCTACTTCCAGCACGCCAATCCACTTTGCACTTACCCTACCCGACTCTTCAACCACTTCTTTTCCAGCGTCGTAGCACAGCTGGGAGTGCGCCGGTCTCATATACACAACTTGTGGACAGTGAGCAATCCGGAGGTCGCTTGATCGAAACAAGCCGGTGCTAACATGAATGCTTTTTGCATCCCCCGCGCTTGCGGGCGAGGGCACTCCAGTGACTCGCCTTCATTCGAGTCATTGACGAGCGAGTGTTTACGTGTGTTTGGAGGACGGGTGGGAGCGCGTCGAGTCACGTGTCTAGTTATGTATCTCTCCCTTTCTTCTGTTTCCACTGCGGAAAAGGCCTACTCAGCTACTACGACATTGCTCCCTGGCAGTTCTTTCCCTCCTCTGGCGATTTTCGAAAAATCAATATTTTGGCATCAAAGTTCGGCGCTCATCTCAGATCTTCCCGATGATGATCCCTTCCCACTCTCCGAATGCCACCGCGATACGACAGATCCCCCCCTTCTCCCGCTGCCAGTGGCCCCATCGGTTGTCGATACGCCTCCCTCTTCAATCGGAATCCTGTGGCCCAGGGCTGAGAAGCACTGCGTTCCTAGACCAACCCAATCTACTCACAAACAGGATTAAATTCAAGATCGGGTGTTGCTGGCATGCCTACAAGTGCTCGGTATGCCTTATAACCTTCCTTCTTCGTAGCACCAAAGCTCACTGATGCTTTGTTCATCTCTCAGGCCCTCTGTCTCCGAACTATCGCAATTGCATGATCTTTCCCCTGAATCGCCTGCCCATCCAATAGAGACTCCACGACTCTTCAGACTGCTCTCAGAAGTTACGAAGGGGATATGCGGTGCACAGTCGTACTTCCCAATCTCCACGTACGCCGCCGTTTCCTCCCGCCATACATACGAAGATTGATGCTGGGAAAATCCAAGCTTGAAAGAATCATGATGACCATCTGTTACAGTGCACCCGCAACCGGGTGCATTTGGAAGTAGGGTATATATAAGCAAGCAACTGTGCTTTACCTGATCTCGGGATCCCTGTGCAGTGTGCTACGAGCGTCGAGCGCAACTCTGCTTCCTGCGCGATCAGCTTCGATCGTTTCTTCCTTCGGTCGATTTTTCGACTCTCGACATTCCCATGGCAGGCCAATATGGTCCCTTCCTCATCGGTAAGTTTTTTTTCTTTCCCTCGAGAGTGATATTCACCAGCATTCAACAAGGCATCTTCTTGAACCTTATGATCTATGGAGTGAGTCGCATATATACGGACCTGTTTTCAGGGCCGACCCAACATCCCGCAGAGCGTAGTGACACAAGTACGCCTCATTCGTTGGTCTCGAAAGCCGTTTTTGACCCCAGCGGTAGACGATCAGATATTTCGTCACTTATAAAAAGTATTACTCGTATATTGGCCACCACTCCAAATGCTTACCCCATCTGAACTACAGGGACGCAAGATTCATCAAATGCCTCGTTTGCCAAATCTCTTCCTCTCCTGCAGATCAGTTCATTTTCACCGCAGATGTCTTACCTGTTGCTGGCTGAAACGGCAGTTATCGTCGTACAGTGCGCTATCGTCTACCAACCGTTGATCATTGACGCTGGTCGGTGGAAAATGCTTGCCCGTAGACTTGGCCTGATTGATTTATTCCAGGTACTGAAGCGGCTAAAATATTCGCGCCCAGGCGTGAGTGATCGAGTGTTTACTGGTCTAAGCATCCGAGTGTCATATTCAACTCTGTTTATCATTCCTTTCCAGTGTTACCGGGAGGTGAGCATTTGCTCTCAAAGCTAGCTATCATTCATTGATTGATATAATGAGAATCGCTCCTTATCGCAAGTGTTCTCGTATTGAACCTCTTACGACTTGGAATCTCATCACATCGAACAGTCCCTCATCTCCGCGCCAATTCAGATTTTCTCCGGTTGGCGCGTCAAGGGTAAGTACCACGACACTGTGGAACCATCCAACTGAGCAATTGAACCGAATAGTTATCACCGGATCCCTCGTCCTGCCTGGCATCATCATGCTGTTCTCACTTGGCTCGTTCGGTGCGTTTGATCATAGGCAATGTTTTACCCCCTGATATTGAACGAGTCCTTCCATTGACAGCCGCTGGAATGACTATGTTCGTTAAAGTGCTTCTACACCCCCAGTTCCGCGACTTCCCCACTTTCACCACAACGGCGACTGTGTGGCTTTCTCTGAGCGCAACCTGCGATGTCATCATTGCGCTTGGATTGAGTTACGCTTTGGTATGGGCTTACTCTGGCGTCGGGTTACCCTTCGATTTGTTCTGACAACAGCGCTAGTATTCGCGTAAGGCAGGTCTCATTGGCGGGATTGACAGCCAGCTCAATCGAATCATTCGTCGTGAGTCGGACATGTGAAGTTGTCACCATTCGCGCAACACTTACCCGTGTACAGTAACACTCGAGACTGGCGCTCTTACAGCCCTCACCGCGTTGCTGGACGTCATCCTTTTCCTAACCATCCCTGTGCGCCTGATATTATCAATAAAAAATGCCCACTTTCTCAAACGAAATACTTTGCTTGATCATTCAGGAGACAAGCACCAATTTCATCGCGGATATGCCGCTGTCAGGCGTGTATGTGTGGTCAATGCTTGCAATGTATGGTCTTTTCCACCATCACATCCTCTGCTGATTGTGTTTTCACGCGCTCCAGGCTCAACTCTCGTTCAAGAACCTCAGTTGACGACCTGGAGCACCACGGAACGTCGTTGAGATTCTCGCAAGCTCCGAGTATTTTTAGGCTTGAACAGACCTCCGCTTCTTCCACAGCCCAGTCCCATGGCTTTGTGAGTCATTCACTCGCCATTTGTTCGTCGATGTCATTCTCAATCCACATTGACAGGACTCCCCATTCCCTATGTCGCCGAAAGGTTCTAAGGCTGAAGCACAGCACGTTATATAATTTCGCTGAATCAGGCCTCCGAGAGTCCGATTATTGAGCAGTCTACACTGTCATGGTCGTAACCCCACATCCGTCAATTTTTGTTTCCTTGCTCATCGCTTTCTGGGAAGAAAAGTCGGCACGTGAGACGGCTGAACCCCGAACAAGCCTTCTCCAGTCCGGCCAAGCCAGACTTACTCGGAGATTCCTGGAGCTTTGGAATTTTCATTTCTATATGACTACACTTTCTGGAATCCATTCGAAACAATAGAATCATAGCCCGATAACAGCCTTCACCAACTCTGGTTGCGAGTGATAGAAGTCGAGAACTGGAAAGAGTAAGAAGCAAGCCACACAACTACCAAACGAACTTACGTAGGACACCAAACCGCTTCCCCTTATGCTCCTTGACCCACGGAAGCAAGCGTTCGTTCATCCCCGTCGTCGACGCGTCTCCCAAAGCGATAATCTACCAGGCAAACTCAGCAGGGAGCGACATGCAGATGAAAATAAACACCGTCCATACGTTCGGTGTAATTTTGTCGGCGTTTTTGTGAGCGCTTGCGAAGCAGATATACAGCGCTTCTTCGGCATCATTATTTGTATCGGCGGTCGTGGCGTTCATTGCCTTCGTAAGATGTCCCGTAACTGCTTCGAATTTGGAGGAGATGTTGGCGTCGGCGGTGGAGTGGGGTGGGACGAGGGGCATGAACGTGTCCTTCGGAGGTCAACGAGTTGAATGGATAGCTGGAAATCAGGCAAGTATGAGTACCTGAATATACGCGACTCTCTTGGGCTCCTTATTATAGACGAGGTTGATATCCCCACCATTAGGCGTCCATTGCTCTGCGTCGAGATGAATGCCGAAGGGGTTAGTAGGTCCGGGAGAAGAGAGGAACTGGTATGTGAAACGTTGAAGTAGAATGAGTTTGCCTCGCGCGGCGCCAAGGGTGCCTAACTAAGCAGAGAAATCGAGATAAATCAAAGATGCTTCTTGTCTTGTGGAATTTGAATTCACCTCGCCCATCACAGGCAACCAAAATTTCTTCCCAATCTCGTTATTGAGCGTCGCAAACAGGATCTCCTCGAATTTCTTGTCGTACGGTGTGTTAGAGCCCGCCTCCTGATTGATGGATACAAGGATCGTTTCTGATGGGTGCCCGAGGAGCCAGTCGTACAACCCGTAGAGGACGTCTTGTAGTGTCGTCGTGGGCCCAAGAAGCGCTGTCCCTATGAACCAGTTCAGTCTCCTTGGGGGAAGAAGAAAGAGAGAGGTGAAGATTCACCGTGATAGAATCCAATCGTATCGTTTCCAGGATTATAACCTAGCCTGAGATCGAACATACGGATGCCGTCGTTGAGGGATCGCAGGAGAGATCGCTCCTGACAGCGAAAGAATACCGAATCGCGCATTCTGACAATGACTTCCACTGAGTCTGTTTCACCCCGATAACAACATCGTAAACACGTACGGACCGGTGTACTTGATGAGTTCAGCTTGTCTTGCCGCCGAATAGTCCCCTTGTTACAATTTCGAGAAGATCCAGCAGAAAATCCAGCGATCCGAATCGAAGAAACTGCATGCTTACAGGTGGCAGCGTCGTGAGTTCCTGGTATATTCATATCAACAAGTCTAGTTTCATCTGAAATCTTTGACATCCAGTTGGAAGTCGGGGAAGACAATGCAGATTCGCCGTCTTCATCAAAACGGCCTTCCAACCGTGGCTCAATTCAGCTGAGACGCTGAAGGGTAATGGGGAGGTACAGACCGAGGATAGGTGCTGCGCGCTCTAGAATCTCTGCGAGAGCGCTGTCCGCGAGATGTTGGCGCAGCGTCCTCGACGAGGTCATGGTTCTCCGCAAGAGAAGGTGTCAGTGTGATGACAGCGCATTTGATCTGCCATCAACCGCAACAAATGGGTCTCAAAGAATGCGGAAATTGCACAGAGAAATCTCGATGTTCAGTACAGAGGCACCGGGCTATACAAAGAGACAATAGGTAGCTAAGGAATGGATGGTCGATACATATGGTACATCGAGGACGAAGGAGCGACAACGGTCAACCGTATAGGTGAATGACAAAAGTCCGGATGCAAAGGGAGATCATGATAGCGACGAACATGTCGTGAGAGGTGTATAGATACAGTCTGCGGGTATGCGGAATGAATGGTATATGGATATGGGATGTGGGATGGGTCGTCAATCGTAACGATGCTGAAGGGAGACTCGAGATCTGTGCGA